CTAGACGACAAGTGGCAGCAAAGTCGACAAGCTCGGCAACTAAGGCAGACGCAGCAGTGGACTCAACGGAAGGGTCAGTGACAACAGTAGCCAGGAGACGCGTGACAGTAGGACTGGCAGCACGAAGGGAGTCAGACTCAGGGTCAGCAAGAGCAGGAAGAGAGGACGCAGGAGGAGCAGGGAGAGGGACACGCTGGGGAGCAGTGGAAGGACGAAGCGCCATGTGGTGAGTGCCTGGGACAGCAGGAGGACGCTGACGCGGGACACGACGACCAGTGTGAGCAGCACGAACAGGCGACGCTCGACGAGACTCAGGCAACGCAGGACGAGACTCAGGCTCATGACGCTCCGTAAGACCTCCAGTCGGACCAGTGTAAGGAGAAGGACCAGGGAGAGGGGAGGCAGACGGTAACTGTGGCTGCGACTGGACAGACGGAGGACACTCTAAGGAGGGAGGAGGACAAGGAGGAGGAGGCTGACCAAGAACCTGCTGAAAGAGCGGAACGAAGTACGGCCGCGGCCGCGCATCGTCTCCAGAACCAGCAGAGACACCAGCGCCAGGGTCCTCAGCACCAGCAGCAGCTCCACCTCCAGGGTCCTCAGCACCAGCAGCAGCTCCGACTCCAGGGTCCGCAGCACCAGCAGCAACTCCAACGCCCGGGTCCGCAGCACCAGCAGCAGCTCCAACGCCCGGGTCCTCAGCACCAGCAGCAGCTCCAACTCCAGAGTCCGCAGCACCAGCAGCACCTCCAGAAGAAGCAGCACCTCCAGCAGCTCCAGCAGCCCCAGCACCAGCAGCACCTCCAGCAGCTCCAGCAGCACCAGCAGTACCACCAGCACCAGCAGCACCTCCAGCAGCGTCAGCAGCACCAGAAGCTCCAGCACCAGCAGCACCTCCAGCAGCGCCAGAAGCACCGTCAGCAGCAGAACCTCCAGCAGCTGGGTCCGCGACACTAGGAGCGCCACTCCGAAGACTGCAGCGTTGTGCGTACCACTCTCGGAGCCGCTGGGGAGAGGGCAGCTCCCGCCTAGGAGGGGAAGCACTAGCACCAGCTCCAGCAGTACTCCTGGCTCCAGAAGCACCTCTCCTGAGGCTGCAGTACTGTAAGTACCACTCACGCAGCTGCTGTGAGGAGAGAGCTCCTCCAGGTGTAGCACTCCCAGGCTCAGTACCTCCAGACTCAGCACCCCCAGACTCAGCACTCGCAGGCTCCGCACCCCCAGGCTCAGCACCCCCAGGCTCCGCACCCCTAGGCTCAGCACCCCCAGACTCCGCAACCCCAGGCTCCGCACCCCCAGACTCCGCAACCCCAGGCTCCGCACCCCCGGGCTCCGCACCTCCAGGCTCCGCACGCTCAGGCTCAGCACCCTCAGGCTCAGCACCCCTAGCAGGACGAGAGTCGACAGCTACCTCGACAGGCTCAACCGGGTCTACCTGGGACACACCTGAGGGAGCGGCACCCTGAGGGGGGAGGGGGTCTACCACAGCAGCACCTGGCGCGAGGAAGAGAGGCGGGGGGGGAAGCGGGGCAGTGCGGTAGGGGAAGAGGCGGTAGTAGGGGACGGACTCGTCGAAAGTGACGTCCTGAGAAGGCAGGACACGGCGCGAGGTGGGGTGGTAAAACTGCCAACCAGACGCGTCCGGGACAAAGCCAAGGAAGACACAAGGAACAGCGCGGGAGGAGAGCTTGTCCGCGGACGTATCGCGAACAAAGGCTCGAGATCCCCAGACCCGAAAGCGTGACGCATCGCCAACCTCTCCTGTCCAACGCAGTGTCGGCGAAGTCTCCGGAACGGAGACACGGGGCCAGAGGTTGAGCTGATGCGCAGCGTATCGGACTGCAAACGGCCACAGAAAGTGGGGGGCAGCCGCATGGATCAAGGAGGTACGAGCGACCTCCATGACCAAGCCAATGCGGCGCTCAGCAACCCCATTCTGCTGTGGAGAGGCCGGAAGCGTGAACGACTGGCGGATGCCGTGCTCCGCACAGTAGGCTGCCAAGAGGTCGGAGGAGAACTCACCACCTCTGTCAGAGTGCAAGCGTAGGACAGGAAAGTCCGAGTGGAAACGCTCGCTGAGCTGGAGACGAGAAGCGCTGATCCAAGGGATCAAAACATCAGGGACCTCACCCTTGGTGCGCAAGGGGAAGACCGTGGTGTAGCGCAAGTAGTCGTCAACAACTATCAGGAAGTACCTCTTCTGACCCTGACCACGGACGCGGGCTGGGCCCCATACGTCCATGTGGAGCATCTGCAAGGGAGCAGTCGTCGGGGGAGACGAGGAGGAGTGAGGAGCGGCGCGCTGCCGCCCCTCGACACAGGGAAGACAGGTAGGAGCAGGCGAGGGTGGGAGGGGAGGGAGAACCCTGGGAAGACCAGAGACAAGGTACCGTTTGTGCATGGCACGAAGGCGCTGCACGGACAGGTGACCAAGTCGGTGGTGCCAGAGGACGGTCTCGTGCGCCAGAGAGCGACACGAGCAGGGGGCCGACAGCTGACCTGACGCAGACGCAGACGCAGCTACCTGAGGGGACTCAGTGGTCAGTGTGTACAGGTCCGACCCCGGCTGCCGAGTGAAGGTAGCCAGGTGACGGCCCGTCCGAGCACACGTGCAGTGTGTCATGCGCTCGTAGGCAGGGGTGAACTGGTGAACACCCCCGTCCTGGAGCGCACAACCCGCCACCAAGTTCGTAGAGAACGAGGGGAGGTGGAGACCTGACAGTGTGCCCGACGGGACCGCAGGACAAGGAAGGACAGTGGAGGAGGTCGCAATGACCGGACCCCCAGAGGGGTCAGCGAGGGAGACAGCAACTGGCCGAGCAAGCGGCTCAAGGGCAGTGCGGTCACGAAAGAAACAGCGAGAAGCACCTGAGTCCAGAGTGAAGGTGTGCAGTGCCTCAGTCGACTCAGTACCAGGGGGCGCAGACTCACTAGCACCTAGAGCAGCAGCCTCACCAGCACCTGGGTAGCAGACACGCGAGTACCGGGAGTGGTAGCCTCACCAGCACCTAGGGCAACAGACGCACTAGCACCTAGAGCGGCAGCCTCACTCACAGGACACGGCAGCTGCACCTGTCCACTACCAGAAGCTCCCGAACGACGCACTCCAGAGCGACTACCACTATGGCCACCCCGACAGCCCCAACTGGCGTACCACTCACGAAGCTGCTGGGGCGAAAGAGGACACGGCAGCTGCACCTGTCCACTACCACAAGCTCCCGACCGACCCACTCCAGAGCGACTACCACTACGGCCACCCCGACAGCCCCAACTAGCGTACCACGCACGAAGCTGCTGGGGCGAAAGAGGACACGGCAGCTGCACCTGTCCACTACCAGAAGCTCCCGACCGACCCACTCCAGAGCGACTACCACTACGGCCACCCCGACAGCCCCAACTAGCGTACCACTCACGAAGCTGCTGGGGCGTGAGGGACTCACGCGCACGGCCCTGGAGCTGCACCTGGCCACGCCAGAAGCAGCAGTAGCGGCAGTAACAGCAGTAACAGCAGGAGCAATAGCAGTGGGAGTAGAAAAGGCAGTAGCAGCGGTAGCAGTGCTGGCAGGGCAATGCTCACCAGTGGTCGGCGCGGCAGGCGCAAGACGGTGGCGACAGCGGGGCCGCTACAACTGCAGGGCGGGGCCGGGCCGCAGCAGGGAGCTCCGCGGCAGCTGCTGCACGGCGAGGCCGGGCCGCGACGGCAGCTGCTCCAGGTGCCAGGGGCGGCTGCTGCAGTGGCGGCTGCTCCAGGGGCCAGGGGCGGCTGCTGCAGCGGTGGTTGCTCCAGGGGCCAGGGGCGGCTGCTGCAAGGGCGGCTGCTCCAGGGGCGAGGGGCGGCTCCTGCAGTGGCGGCTGCTCCAGTGGCCAGGGGCGGCTGCTGCAGGGGCGGCTGCTCCAGAGGCCAGGCGCGGATTAGGTCAGGGCGACGCGGCGAGCAGGGCGACGCGGCGGGCAGGTGGCGACGCCGCGGGCAGGGCGACGTGGCGGGAAGGTGACGACGCTGCGGGCAGGGCGACGCGGCGAGCAGGTGACGACGCCGCGAGCAGGGTGACGCGGCGGGCAGGGCGACGCGGCGAGCAGGTGACGACGCCGCGAGCAGGGCGACGCCGCGAGCAGGTGGCGGCGCCGCGGGCAGGGCGACGCGGCGAGCAGGTGACGACGCCGCGGGCAGGCGACGACGCCGCGAGCAGGCGACAACGCCGCGGGCAGGCGACGACGTCGCGGGCAGGGGCTACGTCGCGGGCAGGCGACGACGCCGCAGGCAGGCGACGACGCCGCGGGCAGGCGACGACGCCGCGGGCAGGCGACGACGCCGCGGGCAGGGGCTACGTCGCGGGCAGGTGACGACGCCGCGGGCAGGCGGCGACGCCGCGGGCAGGGCGACGCGGCGGGCGGCGAGAGCCTGCAGGGGCGGCGCGCGGTCGGGCAGAGGCTGTGCGCGGGCCTGACGAGTCTGCAGGGGCGGCTCTCGGGCCTGACGGGCCTGCAGAGGCGGCTCGGGGGGGGCCTGACGGGTTTGCAGAGGCGGCTCGGGGGCCTGACGGACCTGCAGGGGCGGCTCGAGGGCGCACGAGGGCGCTCGAGGGCGCACGAGGGCGCACGAGGGCGTACGAGGGCGCACGAGGGCGCACGAGGGCGCACGAGGGCGCACGAGGGTGCACGAAGGCGCACGAGGGCGCACGAGGGCGCACGAAGGCGCACTAGCAGAGAAAGGCGCACGAGGGCGCACGTAAGGTAGGGCGCACGAGGGCGCTTCTAGCGGAATAGTGGGCCCATAGTAGAAAGCGGTCCTAGGTAGCAACCTAGGCTCGTGATACCATGTAAGAATCTAGAATAGAACGAGAATGGATGAAACTAGGTAGGAGGGGGATACAAGTAGGAAACCCTAACAAAGCTGTACCCCCTAAGGCTAAACCCACTATAGCCTACACAATATAAACATATAATGTTTGACAGCAGAGGCGATAGAGGGTCCCTACTCCTCTCAGTGGCAGTCAGCCATGGACGCAGAGATGGCTTCCTGGAAGTCCACAGGCACCTACGTCGACGAGGTTCCCCCACATGGGGCGAACATCGTCAGTGGCATGTGGATTTTCAGGGTGAAGCGGCCGCCGGGTTCTCCGCCTGTCTTCAAGGCGCGTTACGTGGCTCGAGGCTTCAGTCAGCGGCAGGGAGTTGACTACTTTCAGACCTTCTCTCCCACCCCGAAGATGACCACTCTTCGGGTACTGCTGCACATAGCCGCTCAGCGCGACTACGAGCTTCACTCTCTTGACTTCAGCACTGCTTTCCTACAGGGCAGCCTGCACGAGGAGATCTGGCTGCGCCGCCCACCGGGCTTCACTGGGTCGTTTCCTCCTGGTATCGAGTGGAGCCTCCGGCGGCCAGTCTACGGTCTCCGCCAGGCGCCCCGTGAGTGGCACGACACACTGAGGACTACACTTGCGGCACTTGGGTTTGCTCCTTCTACTGCCGACCCGTCGCTATTTCTACGCACTGACACCTCTTTGCCGCCGTTCTACATCCTCGTGTACGTCGACGACTTGGTCTTTGCTAATGCTGACACTGCTGGACTCGCCCACGTGAAGTCCGAGCTGCAGAAGAGACACACGTGCACAGACCTGGGTAAACTGCGCAGCTATCTTGGCTTGCAGATCACCCGGGACAGAGCACGGCGCACCATTACCCTGACTTAGTCACACATGGTGCAGCAGGTCCTTCAGCGCTTCGACTTCACGTACTCCTCGCCTCAGGCCACTCCTCTATCTACTCGCCATTCGCTCTCAGCTCTGCCTTCGGATGAGTCCGTAGAGCCGAGTGGCCCGTACCCAGAGCTTGTTGGTTGCCTCATGTACCTGATGACATGCAGTCGACCTGACCTGGCATACCCTCTTAGCATCTTGGCACGCTATGTTGCTCTTGGGAGACACCGACCAGAGCACATGGCTGCAGCGAAGAGGGTGTTGCGCTACTTGTGCAGTACGTCGGGCATGGGGCTCGTGCTTGGAGGGCGGAGTTCAGTGGTCCGCACTGGTCACGCAGACGCGTCTTGGGTTGACCACCTGGCTACGCAGCGGTCGTCACAGGGTTACACCTTCAGCCTTGGTTCCGGCTCTGTTTCGTGGCGGTCTACCCGCTCGTCTTCTGTTCTCAGCTCCTGCTGTGAGGCTGAGATCTACGCAGGGGCCATGGCTGCATAGGAGTTACGCTGGCTCACCTACCTGTTGACTGACCTGGGAGAGCCGCCTTGTTCTCCTCCAGTTCTGTACGTAGACAACAAGGCCATGCTGGCCTTGTGTCGAGAGCACAGACTGGAGCACAGAACGAAGCACATTGCTCTTCGCTACTTTCTTGCTCGTGAGCTGCAGCAGCGTGGTCAGCTGCGCCTTGCTTACGTGGCCTCTCAGGCCAACACTGCTGATATCTTTACCAAGGCACTTCAGCCTTGTGATCATCAGCGCTTCTGTACTATGCTAGGTCTTGTGCCTACTTGGCCTCACTTGCTTACCTCTTGACTTTGCTTGTACTGTGATCTATATATACCTGCACCTGCATGTTTACCTTTATATATAATCTTGCATGTGAACTGGCCTTGTGGCCTTTGAACCTGTGCTCGGAATGTGTGGTGACGTTGTGATCCACCCTGAGCTTGCTTTGCTTGACTGGTCTTGTGACCCCTTGTTCTCCCCCACTTTGCCTATGGGGGTGTGTCAAACTCATATGCTATAGTCTATCTAGGCTGTAGTGGGGTAGACACTATAGGGTACAACACTTCTAGGTTTCCTACTTGTACCCACTTCTTCCTTAGTCATTCTCATTCCTCTTTCTTCACATCCACCACCTCTTCGCGCCAACGCCGCCACTCCGGCATGTGCTGCTCGCAACAACACTGCTGCCTCCGCCGCCATCGCCGCCGCTATCTCGGCCGCTTCCACCGCTGCCCTGCACACGCGTACTTTCTCCACGCACCATTGCTCTTCACCATCGTGGAACGCTTTTTGTCGATTTATCGTCACTTACTACCGTTTACCAGCCGTCGACGGTCGCTCCCTCGTCGCGATCTGTCGTACTTGCATCGCAGTTCGTCGCTCTCTCATCGCCGTATGTACCGCTCTGTTCTTTTCTTCTCTGTCGCTATGACGATGTATTGTTTGCGCCACTACTTGACGCTCCAAACGTCCCTCGACTGTCAATATAACGTTTCTACATCTTGAAAGGGCATGTAATATTTGTAGTACAAATCAGGGAGTAGTAGCTCCTAGAATTGACTAAGTCTGGAGAGTGCTAGAGGATCTTGTAACAATCTGTGGAAGTTTACTTAAGAGAGGAAGAATCCCTTCTCCAACTTGGTTTGTTGGGTAAAAGGATGGAGAATCCGCTTGGAAGGCTCAGCCCCCTTCCTACTACCCCTTGGGGCGCAGCCACCTTCCCCATGGCAAGGAATGGTGCACCTCCATGGGCTTTGCCCATGTGGCAATGGTGGAATCTTTTATCAAATGACAAGGCATAAAGGAGTGGAATAAATATGATGTATATGCAAAATGCTATCCAAACCCGTCATGTTACAATTGGTTGTGAATTCATCATTCGACGAAACGTTGTCGACTCACACATTGTAGGGCAAATCTGATTGGCTGGGCTAAGGTAGGGCTGAACCTACGTGGGATGTTCTATCAGTACCAACCAATCCCGTAGGTTCTATCAACAATTGCACAGCATTGTTTCTAATTGGTTGGTTTCCCAACCATTTCCCAATTCCTAGCCAATCTCGCTTCCTACTCAATTCTCAACCAATCCTGTTTTACCCTGTTTTCCCCTCACAGCTGGTTCGATGTATCGAGACCAGGGGGTTGGGTCAGGATGTTACACTCCTCCCCCTCCAGTTGGCAACGTCCTCATTGCTGTGGGGTGCTTCTTAGGACGATTGCTGCGAGCATGACGAACCACATTACGACCAGGGTCTACACCATCCGCTGGTTGTGGGAGTGCTCGTTAAGCCAGGTCTTCCATGTAAGACTGAAACGCAGTATCAGTCAATTTTTCTTCCAGCTCCCAAGAGTTGTGTCCAGGCCCATAGCCTTTCCACTTGATAAGGAACTCTCGTACAATCTTGCGGCCGCGTTGTCGATCACGATGCAAAAGCACTCGTTCGACTTCATAGTATAGTTCCTCCACTAGGACGATTGTTGGTGGTGGTAGGTACTTGCCTTCTGCAATGTACTTGCTTAACAGAGACACATGGAAGACGTTGTGAATCTGAAGGGTATCAGGTAGCTTGAGCTTATAAGCTACCACACCAACTCGTTGAACCACCTCAAAGGGCCCAATCCAGCGAGGGGACAGCTTTCTAGCACCAGGGATCTTAAGCCGAATATTCTTTGGCGTTTCATATCGATGTAGGATTTTTGTCTTTGCTAGGCCAATTGGAGCCAATGACTTGCCGACTGCAGGGCCTATCTTTGCTTGCCTAGAATCGGCTCGTGAAGCGTGGGTCACGATTAACTGTGGCAATCCGTGTAGGCAGAACACAAGCGTCACGAACAACCGAGCCGTATCATCTGCTGATACCTCCATTGTCGTGGGTCCAAAGTGCACCATTTATGTAAGGCGATCCACAAACACGAGTATCGTCGTATACCCGTCACGGGTTCTTGGGATGTCGGTGATGAAATCCAGTGAAACAATTTTCCAAGGTTCACTCGGAATTTCAAGTGGTTGAAGCAAAACGCCAGGCTTCTGTGTGTCAGGTTTGTTACGTGTGCACGTATCACAACATGCCACAAACTGCTGGACATCACTACCGACTCTTGGCCACCAATATACATCACGTAGGGCCCATCGGGTCTTGTTCATGCCCATGTGTCCCCCATATTTAGTGGCGTGCACCTCTACCAAAATGTCGTTCCGCAGATTGCCTACAAGAGGTACCGCAATCTCTTTTGTTCGCCACCAAAGATCGTGTTCCCATGTCAAATGTTTGGTGTTTGTGGGTTCTGGAACCAGGAATCGATATGATATCCTGTGCGAATTCGTTTCAGAAAACCACTGAACGCGATCTCGCTCACTTTCGCCATTGCTAGTATACTAAAACAGGCAGAAAAAACCACATGTTCGGTATCGTCAAGCCCGGTTGCCGCCCCTATCGGCTGTCTGCCGAGGGGGTCGGCCAGGTTCGTCGAACCTGCACGATAGCGAATGTCGAAGCTGAACCCACTTAAGAGTTCAGACCAACGGGCCTGATGGCGGGTGAGGGTAGCTTGGGAAGAAAAATATGTGTTCGGACAATGGTCAGTGGTGACCACGAACTCTACCCCTTCCGGATAACATCGCAATATTTTTAGCGCATGCACGATATCCAACAACTCTTGTTCGTTAGTCGTGTAGCGTTGCTCTGTTGACTAACCACCTCATAAGGTTTCTGTGGGTTTAGCAACACCAAAACTGGTGCGTTTGATAATTTATGTTTGACCTCTTCAAAGGCCTTTTGGCACTGTAGAGTCCACTCCCATGCATACCATTTCTGGGTCAATGCCGTGAGGGGAGCGACTATCGTGGAATAATTTTCCAAGAAGCGACGAAAATAATTCACCAGGCCCAGGAATGATCGAACTTGGCCAACGCCTCGTGAAACGGGCCACTCCTGGACAGCAGCAACCTTCTTGGGATCCACTTTTAACTCGTTATGCCCCACCACATGCCCCAAGTACTACAGCTCACGTTTGTAAAAATGACATTTCCACAAACGCGCATAGTATTCATGCTCGCGTAAAATTTTTAGGACCTATTTCAGATGTTCCGTGTGTTCATCTTTAGTCTTTGAGTATACCAGGATATCATAGAGGTACACCAGCACGAACTGACCAATCGCATCGCGAAACACATCATTCATCGCCCTATGGAAAGAGGCCAGAATGTTGGTCAAGCCAAAACTTAACAGACGCCACTGAAAATGGCCGAACGGTGAAAGGAAAGCCGTCTTTGGAATATTGTCCTCTGTTATACGCAATTGGTAATAACTGTTGGTGCAACCCTACGGTTTGCACTCGGCTTGATGTCCGTGTGCGTGCATGCGTGTGTGCATGGAATGGTATGAGGGCATGAAACAAAATATATTTCATGCTTATAATAGTGTGTGAATGTTGAGTCATGATGTCGAGTGTGTGTATCGAGTCAATAGCGAGTTATCACTAGTCGCGTGTCACGCGGTCGTTTGTGTCCCGTGCGCGGTTTCTATTTTGTCGTGTGTCGAACGTTCGGCGTGTCGCAGGTGTGTGCAAAAGACCCATCAAGAGCTCCACGATGCGTTAATGGTGAATGACCAGAGCCTTGATGTCAAGATTCAGGTGATTGCGAAGCTCGCGAAAAGGGTACACTTCAAGATAGTGAGAATAGTTACATTACTTTGTGTTGTGTAACATTTCACCTGGTGTAGGCCCTTGTGAAGGGTAGTTTCGAGACCCTTCATGGTTGGGAACAGTCTGGCACTGTTTCACGTCAGTGTACCTCGGCTCTTGGGGTTTGTAGGAGCTGGGAGTCATTCCCAACTTATAAGACTATAGTGGCTTCCATAGTGCCGTTCGTTCAAACCGACGCTGTGTCGTCAATACTTTGTGAAATGGTGCGATCTAAATGGCATATTGTAGGCAAATTTGAGACGCTCCAGATCCAAGTTGTATGACGTTATTTGGAGCCGTGACCAAAACGCTATGAACGTTTAAAGCCCCTATGCAGAAATCCGACTGTGCACTCTATCTTTCGTTTTAGGCATATTTGAGCCTATTGTGGCTATAACAAGTGGTATCAGAGCTCCTTGGAGCAGCTACGATGATGGCTGGACCTGAAGAAAGGGGTGACAGAGGTGCTGGAGGCAGTGGAGGACCCCAAGCACAAGGTCAACCCCGTGATTCAGCCATGGTGCCCGTGCAAACTACTCTTGGACCTTCTAGGGATGAACCAAGAGTGTTCGGGCTTGACAAGTTCAATGGCGACAACTTTGCTGAGTGGTCCTTCAGGATGGAGAACGTATTCGACCACTATGACCTGCTGGAGGTGATGGAAGGAACGGAGAAGCACCCCGAGAACGACCCGGAGAAGAGCCCGTGGGTGCGGAAGAGCGCACAAGGCTATCTCCTACTTGGGCAGAGAAGGATGAAGGCTTTGAAGAGCTTGCTGCCGTGGGGAAGGTGACCGTACACTCTCT